TCTTGACTTGACTCTTAACTGATCCTTGAATTGAATTATGGATTCAAGGATTAAGATTTGTGATTGGAAAGATCTCATGATTTTTAGGATTGACTTTGAATAGCTAAACCTGAGAAAAGTTACGAAATCACCGTCTTGGAACAAGTCCGTGACGAGGAGATATTTCTGAATAAAAGCTCCTGAAATTAATTTTTGAGACAAAGGAGGCTGCATCCTAACCGCGATGCGGAGACAACTTTTTTCACTGGGGGAGCAAGTCCACGACGCGGACCTGAGCGCCAGAATCTGCTTGACTTTTCCTTCTTTGTTTACCAGCCCCAAATCGCCTAAACTCAATTATAGAACTCAAATTCTTTTTAGATCCCGATACCCAGCATATGTATTCAAGAACCTAACTCAATACAACCCTAAAACTCAACGTAAAGATCTCAGAAACTCTTCAATTCAACTCAATTCAAGAACAACATTCAAATTCAAGAATACATGTCAAGAACAATCACTTTCAAACTCTTTTAGGACGAATTTCGTTGAACTAAACATGTTTGGCGCGTGGGTGAATGAACCCAACGCTATGAGAGACTCACATACCTTGTAAGATGAATTCCTTGGCGAATCCACAAACAAAATCGATCGTTCTTGGCGAATTCTTGTTGTTCCTCTTCTCATTTCTTCTTTTCTCTGTTCTCCAAGCCCTAGCGTATTTTCCAATTGACTAAATTGATCTCCTTCTGATTTTACCCTTTATTAATTCACTAAAATGAATTAAATTAATAGGTTAAGGAAAAGACCAAACTACCCTTTCAAAATCCGGATTGGACATTTCCTCATTCCAACAGCCCAACTTCCGAAGGGCCTAACTCACTCATACGATCTCGGAATCGCGTAAACTTGGTGGCGTTGGAAAGATCATGCCAATAGCTTTCCAACCATATCTGGAAACACACCTAACTCGTTCTGAGCTAGGAGTTATGGCCGTTTGAAGTTGCACAAAAACTCACTTTAACACACTTGCCTAATTTCCAGATTTTTAAATTCTTTCCAAAAATTAACTATTTCAACTTCTAAGCTTCTTCCTAGCTATTTCAAATTGTGAAATGTTACAGTATCAAAGTATAAAATTAGCTAAAATTGATACCATTAGAGTGTATATATATATATATATATATATATATATACTTGATACACTAGGGTATATATTTAGTCTAATGGTATCAAGGAATAACTGAGTAGTATTTTCACTGAATCACTCTTTGATATCAAGGAGTAACTTAGTAGTATTTTCACTTAAATGACTTTTTCTTCCTTGATATCACTAGTGTATATTTACTATGATGGTATCAAATATGAAATTGCTATTAAAGCTAAAGTTATATCATAAATGGTAATAAATATAAAGTAACATTAAAAAGGGTAATTAATCAAATAAAAAATATTATTTAAGTAAAAAATATTTCCCTAGTTAGAAATTTTGTATCATATTTGGAGTGAGATACATGAAGATACATCAGTTCCTCAAAATTAAGCTTTATAATCTTGTTTTGTATTCGATTCAGTAGATGTCGAATTCTCTCTTTCTTTTTTTGAGTATTGGATGGATTAAGCTGATTGTGAAATTAAAATCCTCTATATGTATCTGAAATTGATGCTATGTATCTTTCAGTCTCAAAATTAAACTTTATAATCTTGTTTTGTATCCGATATAATGACATGTATCTAATAATGTTATTTTTTCATTTCTTGTATCTAGTTTTGTTTGACAGAAAATTTATTAATAGATACGTGTGTAGCAATGTTAATTAAGTCTAGTATCTAGTTTTGTTTGACATAAGATAAAACTGATGCTCTTTATTTCCTTCCAATGACTTTACCAAGCACTAAACACTTTTTGAAAAAAAAAAAAAAATTTAACCTCCAAAAAACTTGATCAAACAAGCTAATTAATTAAACAATGACTTGGTCAAGTCTAGTATCTAGTTTTGTATGACATAAGATAAAACTGATACTCCTTATTTCCTTCCAATGACTTGACCAGCAATAAACACTTTTTGAAAAGAAAAAAAAAATTTAACCTCCAAAAAACTTGATCAAACAAGCTAATTAATTAAACAAAGGTAATTTTTTTAGATTTCACTAAATTGAGAAATTGTTGATTAATAGAATATTCGCTCACGCCAAAGTTAATATCAGTGGAGACCGAACTTTTTATTTTGGTGTTTTCCTTCAAAACACATGTTTTAAATGCTAAAGTGATTCAATGTGAACTTGTGATTTTAGGGGACAACAGTTATACGTCGATTCAATGTGAACGTATGCTTGTAAGGGACAACGATTATACGTTAATTCAATGTGAACTTATGCTTGTAGGGACAACGGTTATACATTGATTCAATGTGAACTTATGCTCGTAAGTTGTAGGGAACAACTAGGGATGACAATGGAGTAGGTGAGGCGTGTAAAATGACGAAGATTTCAATCTGCTCCTCTTTGCCTCATATAACAAAAAATTATATTTAATCCACTCTGCTCCGCACTATGTTGATCCACCCTACATATTTATTTATTTTTAAAAATTGTGTTTTGCAATTTTTGGTATAATTTTTTTAACTTGTGAAGCTTTATTTCATAAATGTATCACGTTTATATCACCTATATATATATATATATATATTAGAGGAGCCTAATTATTAGCAAACATCAAAGCTTAGTCAAGCACACCCTGCCCCGTTTCATTGTCATCCCTAAAGACATCGGTTATTTGTAGCACCATACAACTCAAGTGAAATGATACAAATGTTTTTATGCAAATTTCAATTGGACTTAAGCCCATCAATCGTACTTGAGTTGCCAACCCTTTTTTCAAGGAACCGTGATGGTACAGGTTTATACATACGGTTTTGCAATATTTGAGCATATGGATTTTGAAATTTTTATCTATGAGATATAAAATTGGGGTAAAAACATAAAATTGTTATACAAAATTTTAAAAAATAAAATAAATTGTTGTATGTATTTTGTGTGAGGTGTTTTGTCACTTTATGTCCACTGATATATTGGTCATATAAATAACATAAGCCCAACGTATAAAATACATACAATTTATTGTTCTTCTTCCTCTTCTAGTACAAAATGAGACAAAGTTCAATAGTGTGCTTGTATTTGGGGCTTGCTAGCAATGATTTTTGTTCTTATTAATATTGAGAAAAGATATATACTCTAATTGACCAAGCAGGTGATCGAACATCATGATGTACGTGTGGCAATATATGTACTCCTGATAAAAGGATATGATTGTATATGACTTATGATCAATCTTGTGATTCCAAAGAACCATTCAAATAGGAGTATCTTATAACAAAAGCTATGTTGAAATGACATGATGAACGAGTACAAAGCATGAACATGATATCTTGCCAAATCATAGTATAACTTATGATATATGATTTCAATACATGTTTTCTCAAAGACTAGTATGGAGGGAGGCCGATGATACCTACTGAGTACTTTGTGTACTCATCCTTTCAGTTTGTTGTCTTCTTTCCTAGAGTCTGAGCATAAGTGCTACCCACGACGATACCACAAGTTAGGAGCTGCCTCTTCATCGTTGTTGAGCCCTGACATTGACATCCAGTAGAGGATAGGGGTTTATTGTATTCTCTTGCATTTCTGAGTCATATTCACTAATAAGTAGACATCCCACAAAGCAAAGATTGATTTGACTAAAGGAGCAGCTAAGAAAAACAGACACAGAATTCAAAATAGGACTGATTTGACTAAAGGTTCAGTGCTTCTAATATCGACACAATTCATAATATAATGGCAAGATTGAAACAAGTTGCAGTTCCAGTTCACACTTATGATACAAAATAACAAGGCTGAAAAGAAGGTTATTGAAGTGCACCTGAGCATGTATAATATGTTATTTATTGGAAAGTGAAGCAATATTTGACCAAGACAAGAAAGGAACTTAATCTTTGTCTACAAAATAAATAATTCAAATTAAGTCAAATAACTTGCATATAATCAATCAGTAGTTACATGATCAAGTAATGTATCAATTTCATACAACAACCATGACAAGGAAGAGAACACTTCACACGATGTGTCACGGTTGGTCCTAAAATTAGTTTCCATAGCAAAGAAGAAAAATCATAGTTTATCGTAATCTTACTGATTAGTAGAACTGTTACACTAACAATGAAAGAAGCACTGGGATGTTTACAAAAGCCAATAGAAGAAAAACCTCAATAATCTGTCAATCGGCTCCAAAAGAGGCTCCCGAGAGTCATACCTATCATTGTATGATCTAGCAGCCAAGGAAAAGGTCACACTGGAACTCAGATAGTTAGACCTTTGATGTAAATTGAAAGTTATGTCTCTGAAAGACACGTTACAGAACCATCTGCAAATTGGGTAGAACAGTAAGAGGGATAAATTGATAATGCATATACTCTCTCAAGTGTCAACGTAATCCACAGTAACAAAAAGCACGTAGAAGCATTCATAACTTGTTTGGCCAAGACTTTGAAAGATGAAAAGTGCTTATTTTTCAATAAAAGCACTTTTTATAGTTTTACTATAAATAAGTGTTTTGAATAGTAGCAGAAGTTTTGTTTCAGTTTGAAGCATCAGCAGAAAAGTGTAGCTTCTCCTAAAAATAAGTACTTTTGAATTTCTTTTATGACAAGAATATCCATATCAAAAATAATTGACAACTATATGCATATCCTTTTTCGTAGTTTGACAGTTAAAACACTTTGACAATATTAGCCAATCACAAATTGCTACTCTCCCGAAGCACTTTTTTTTATGACCATGGTGTCCGGACAGGCTTTCGCTCACCTTGACCAGTTCCACAGGATACCTGTCACCTCCCACCAGCATCAGGTACCAGGTAACTTTATCTACCAATTCTACCAAGGCTAGGACAGATGACAAGAATCACCTGGTGCTTTGTCTCCGCTGCTTTGTCTCTGCTGAGATTTGAACCTAAGACCTCATGGCTCTCAACCAGTTCATTCACCACACTTTGGGTACCTCCCAAGGCAATTCATTGAAAAGCACTTTTGATAAGAAAAACTTCTCAAAATAAGCTGAAAACTGCTGGAGGCCTTGGCTTCGTTGACATAACCGATTGGAATAGAACTGCTATTAGTGAACATTTCTGGAATCTGTGCTTGAAAAAGGACATGCTATGCTGAAAACTGCTGGAGGCCTTGGCTTCGTTGACATAACTGATTGGAATAGAACAGCTATTAGTGAACATTTCTGGAATCTGTGCTTGAAAAAGGACATGCTATGGATCCAACTGGTCCATGCGTACTACATCAAAGGTGGAAGTGTTTGGGATCTTAATAATAGTAGAGCATCATGCACTATTAAGGAGATCCTCAATGCCAAAAGAACATTGGAAATAGCTGGCTACAAGAAGCAGGATGTCACCCTCAGAACTAAATTCAGCACAAAGGTGGTCTATTGCAAATTGGGAGGCAACTATACAAAGGTAGAATGGAGGAAATTACTATGTAACAACCATGGAGCCCCTAGGGATAAGTTTATACTGTATTTGGCTCTGTGGAAAAGGCTGCTGAGTGCTGACTAGAGACAGATTAGCAAAATGGAGTCCTAGACATGACCTGTCTTGTTCCCTTTGCACTAACAATGATGAGAGTCTAGATCAATTTTTCTTCAAATGCCATTACTCATCTACTATCTGGGACAGAATTCTCTAATGGCTAGGACTCAAAGATCATCTCTGGAATGGAAGGATAAAGTGATGTGGGCTATTGCTCATGCCAAAGGCAACTCAGTGCAAGCTGCTCTTTACAGATTATCCATAACATGTTGTCTTTACTTGGTGTGGCACGAGAGGAACTTGAGACTGTATCAGATGAGAAGTAGAAGCCCTGAAATACTCATAAGACTGGCTGCTCAAGCAATTCACTGCAAGGGGTCTCTATTTGATTGTCTGCATTCTAGGCTACCCATGCTTAATTACTATCCTTAGGCTAATGTTTTCGAGATAGGGTTCTTGATGTAATTTTGCTTTTTTCGATCAGTGTTTGAAGCTTGTTTGCCCAACACTGTGGAATACTTTGTACCTATTTGCTGCTTTAGTAATTTAATCAGTTAGTTACCCAAAAAAACAAAAAACTGAATTTGACAGCTTGACCAAACATTAAGTCAGGAAATTGTAAAATTATGTTCATACTACTACATCAAAGGTGATCATATTACATATATGTAATCTTGATATCATAACAAGGAGATGCCATATTTGAGAACCATCTAGTTATACAAGTAGAACTGAAAACATTTTGCAGGTTGCATGCATCTATAACCTAGTAAAACTATCTTCCAACAGTTGCAGTTTATTCTATCAATAGACACCTAAATTTAAGCAACTTGGCAATTAGAAACGTGCAGGAGAAATTAAAGGTACTGAAAAGCATAAATTGATTACCAAACTGCCATAATCATCAAAAAGGGCTGCGGAGAATGTCCTGATTTCTGCGTCAACCACCATATCATCTAGACCACTAGCCATATCTCGATCAGCAAGCTTCAACGCAAGCCTCTTTGGAGGCTTCTTGAAGCCACTGCGAACAATGAAATGTCCTAACTCATCTCCAATAACCCATAAACTAAAGGGATTCTTCGTGAATTTGGCATCATATATATCCCAAATGCTTTGTTCCGAAAACTGACCACCAGCAACCATATCACTGCGGGTGCATCTTAAGGAACCAAAATTAGATTCATTTGGTACTCCTTTGCAGGTTATACAACCCACGGAAACAAAGCCTGGAGGAGGCTGAGGCATCCAAAAAATGTACTATCAGCCTATGATGCATTGTGCTTCATGATTCTGATCACCAAAAAATACCATTCCTTGAGAAATAATAGGGCACCATATAGACAATTTCTTTCTAGAGAATCCCCTTCACCTCCCTAAACTATTTATTTCTACATATTTCATTTTCTTCAGAATTAACTTGTTTTAAAACAAAAAGACGTAAAAGCTTATTAATAAGGTACAAAGAAGGTACAGGAAAATACAAAGGACAACATCCCTGAAAACACACCCTACAACCCTCCTAACAAATGCAAGAGATCCAAAAACTGATACAGATCCACCAAAGAACTGCATTTACGCCAAACATTATAGATTATGAATACATCTATTCTTATTTCTAGAGATGTGATCCCTATGCCCTTCAAAGCAAGCTTTGGTCCTTTCCAACCATAAAGTCCAAAATATGCACAATGGAGTGGTCCTCCATATCTGCTTCAGCTTTCTGGATATTCTTTGGGATTGCAGCTCTACAAACAAACTCCTTGACGTCGGTGACATCACTTTGCCACCAGATGTTTAAGAAAAAATCCCAGCATTGTCTAGATACTCAGCAATGGAGCAAATTGTTCAGGATTGTCTAGATACTCTTCACAATTAAATTGATGTATAGATTCCTTGGTTCACAAAGTTGCAAGAGAAAAGAGTGACATCTAACAAATCCTTCTATAGCTCTCATAAATCCCCCAGATTACAAAATTAATGCGACTTAGAAATCTCATTTCCCACGGAATGTAATAGAATATTTAAATCACTTTGGTTCAGGGAAACCAGAAGCATTGTTCACTAGAGGTAGACTTCTTTAGATATATCATGAATTTACACTAAAAACCCTATTAAAACTTAAAAGTATTCATTTTTTAGGTTACCATAAACGTGAAAGGCCTAACAAAGTAGAGTTACTTATAAAGGATAATTGCAATTGCATTTCAACAAGTTGAGCTGAAATTAGAAAAAATTGCATCATCATTGTACAAGATAAGGATAAAATTTTCATTGCTATCAAGGTAATGGCACTCCAAATAGCTAGTTTATCATTCTTGAAGTTGATTAGCAGGTCCAAGTGTGTCACAGAGAAAGTTGATAAGACTGAAGCAACCAAATTACAGCAGTTATAACAATTGAAGCTTTGTATTAAAATGATTCTTGGGAGGAAAGAAAACTACAGTTTTAAATCCTGAAACAATTTTATTAAGATTCTCACGACAAAACAGACTCCTCGTCATAGCTATCCACTTTATGCTACAAGCTATTATGAGGTATAAGTTTCAATAAATTCCACAAGGATGAAAAGTTTACGTGACAAAAAGAACCAGACCTCTCTTGACGCCAGCAATTCAACTACTACCAACTTCAGACGGTGTCTTGGCCACAATTGACAATGCGTGTAGTCCATTCTGCAACTCATCTTGCAGTAAACCATAAATCATCCTATGCCTCTTAACCAAACTCTTGCCTTCAAATTCCTCAGACACCACTTTTAAATTAAAGTGTGTTTCTCCATCACTACCTCTAATCCCCGCGTGTCCTGCATGCTGATAAGATATATCTTCAACTTCTAGTTCAACAGGCCTAAGTTCCTTCTCCAATTTCTCCTTGATTCTCATCCCTCTACTCCTCAAAACACCATCATCACTAGCACCAACAGTTGCATTGTTTCCATTAACTTCAGGACTGGCTATAGACTCAACATTTCCATTACCATTAACATTGTGAGACTCAGTCGACGAGGCATTTGATATTTCACTCTGGCCTAAATTAGCACCTTTCTCAGCTTCAACATACAACTGAAGTGCTTTTTTCTGCATTAACTTCAACATATTCAAAAACCCATTATTCCTAGAAGGAGTTAAGCTTTGTTGCAACCCTAAAAGTACAGCAAAATCAGGGGAAACTTTTAAAATCTCTTCTACAGGTCTTCCAGAAAGTCCCTGAACTAACAAAGCAGCAAGACCTTTAGTAAGTACCGAATCAGAATCAGCCTCAAATACAACATTTTTCTCAGAATCAAAATACGCCCTAACCCAAACCTGTGAAACACAACCCTGAACCTTATTTTCACTAGTCTTGTACTGGGTATCAAGTGGTTTTAAATTCTTGCCGTAAAACAACAGTTGTTCGTATTTAGCCTTTGGTAGTTCAACTGCTTGAAAAAGCTTGACGATTTCTTGAAGCTTCGGCGGAAGCTCTTCAATGGGTTGGAGAGATGAAGAAGAGGATTCTGAAGCTGCACCTGCTCCTGCTCCTGCTGCTGCTGGGGTTGCAGAAACAGATTTTGTTGAAATTCTTTCAATGGTAATGGATCTAAAGAAGGTTAATTTAGAGGGTGTTGAGTATAAAAAAGAGGATTTTGAGGTTTTGGGGTATGGTGAATTAGGGTGATGAAGGAGAGGATGAGGAATTTTGGTGGAAATCGACATGGATGGAAGATGATGGAGCAAAGGTAGTAGAGAAAATGGTGAGTTTGATGTTGAGAAGATTCGAGAGAAGAGGGAACCAACCTCGCTAGGCATAATCCTACATTTTCAACCAATCAAAACATTAGTGGGTATTTATATTCTTAGTTATGGTTTTCTTTTATTTATTTTTTTCATCACATATTTATTCATGTAAAATTATTGAAATTATTTATTACCTTAATAGTGTTCTCAAAAGAAATTAAAGTTTCAACTCATGAGAAAAAACTTTTAGGTTTAATATTTGTCTGATTTTCTTGAAGTATATGATAAATGAAAACCTCCGTTCCATTTTATGTGGCACTTTTCGAATTTCGAGATTCAAACAAATCTATTTTTGACCGTAAGTTTTTCATAGATCTTTTAAACATTTCGAATTATCAATTATTGTAACTTATAGTACTTCTTACATAATTTACAAATATATAAATTTCATTTCTAAAAATTTGAAGATTCGTGCGTAAATTTCTGGTCAAACTTAAACTGTTTGACTCTCGAAAAACGAAAAGTGTCACATAAATTGGGACATAGGGAGTAATAAAAATATCATAAAATATACTTTTTATTAAATGGCAAAGGGTCAAAAATACTCTCAAATTATTAGAAATGGACCGAAAAAATTTACTATATATAAGGTACAACTAGTACAAGTTATATGAGGGTATTAATTTATTAATTTATATTCTAACCTAGGAATCCATGTTCTGTTTTTCTTCTTTGTCTTTTATTTCTCTTTCATGCCCTTCCTTCCCTCTTTTTTCTTGTTTTCTGTTTTTTTTTTCCTAAATCTATTTTGAAATTAATTTAATTACTGGTATATATGAAAATAATTTATTTATTTTAACAAAAAATATTTTTAAAAATTATCATTTTTATCAACAAATAACTACATAGATATTAATAGTCAAATTTAAAATTTTAAAATATAATTAATAAGACTAGTTTAATAAAATGAATCTTTAATACAGATACAATTAAATCTACATAAAACTTATATAAAATGTAGTGAAACAATTGTTATTAAAATTGTACATTAAAAATTATGGGGCTATGGACCTAGAAAACATGGTTATGGTTATTCTTATTTGGCATTTGGCTATATAATTCAAATATATACTTTTTTATTGTATTTGAAATAAACGGAATTAGAGTTGAACATAGAGTCATGTGATATTCATGTTTGAATGTACTTAAATACAATTTTAAAAATAAAAAGTGAGTTGAAAATTCAGATTATACTAACATGTTTTTTTAGACTTGAAATATACGTTCTAGATGAAAAAGTTGTATTTCAAATTTTCATTATCAAACATCAATTTTCAAATTAAGTGAAAAAAAATAAAAATTTAAGAAACAATTCCTATGTTTGAATGAGTCCTAAAAGTAGAAGTTAAAAAAATATGAAATATGAAGATAATTTTTTTAAGTACGATAAATGAAAATTGAGAGAAAAAAATAAGTTTAGTGGTCAATTTTCATGACATAAGTGACAATTCAAAAAATTAGCATGAACTTTTTTATACTCTTAACTTTTAATTATTTAGATAAAAATAATATTTTTTTAAAAAATAAAATATTTTCATATATACAAACTAAGGGAGTAATTATATTGGTTTCAAAAAGATTTAGAAAAAACATAAAATGAGAAAAGAGAAATAAAAGGCAAAGAAGAAAAATATAATGTGGGTTCAATGAGTTAGAATATAAATCAATAAAATAATTCCATCATACAATTAGTACCCGTTGGTAGCAAAATTACCTTTACAATTAGCATAAGGGACCATAAATACCCTTCTATTTAACAAACCCATGTTTGTGTTGATATAGCACATGATGTGACATTCACATAGGATGTCAAACTAGGACCTCCTTTTAAATACTTTTACAGGCCCAATTCAGAGCCCTAAATCAAATCCTAGCCTTTGAGGAAAAAAATTGAGTCTTCTCCATCAAAGTTTCAAGCAATATGAGAAGGCTCCATCAATTTAGTTGAAAGTCGTAATGTTAATGAGAAAATTTCAACGATAATGAGAAAATATGCCCTTTGATTGTGACTTCAATAAAGATCTCAACAGAGATTTTAAAACTTCAGAGATGACTACATTGTATAACGTGTCTTATTTAGACAGAACTATGTTTATTATCAATAAAATCACTTGGTGGTACTACACTCAGATGCTTGAGCCATCAGAAAAAAGATGTTAAAATAGGATGATTGAAATATGATAGCACTTACTCTTGAATGGAAAAGCCAAGTCCATATTGGTTTCGATCAATGTAAAATATCTTGTCAACTGAACCTCTTTCATTCTTTGTTTGGTTTACCTACTCCACGAGTCTCTTAGTTAGGAATTTACTATCAAACTATTCATAAAGAAACATATTTTTTGGGTTTTGAAATTGTTCTTTGTGAGATACTTTTAAAAGGAAGAAATCCCAAGAATTATCTATAACAATGAATAATTGTGGATACTTATTGAGCATGTCTGCTTCAGTTTCCCAAGTGGATTCCTCAATCAAACGGTTTTTGGAACCTTTACCAACACAACCTTTATGTACCTATCTATCAAGGATAACAATAGGTTCTTCTTCATTAGACAAGTTCTCATCAAGTGACACATAATCCCAATAGATGATGTAATTATCGTCGCCATGAAACTTCTTCAATATAGACGCATGAAACACTGGTGATCTCTAGACAAGCTTGGATGCAACGCCTATCGATATGTCATCGACCCCATACACTTAAGAATTTTAAATGGTCCAATAAATCTTGGACTAAGTTTCTCTTTCTTACCAAACCTCATGACCATTTCATAGGCGACACTTTGAGTAACACTTTTTTACTTTCCATAAGGTGGAGGTCTCTGACCTTGCAAAATGCAACTGTTTTTCATTGCTTTGAGCTACCACAAGTTTCTTCTGGATAACTTTTACATTCTCCAATGAGTCATTCAATAGGTCAGTACCCCAAGGTGTCACCTCAAAAGTGTCAAATTAATCGATTGGAGATCTACACTTCCTCTCATACAAAACCTCAAATAGTGCCATATCGATGCTCGAGTGATAACTATTATTGTAATCAAACTCAATTAAGTGTATGAAATTATCCCAATGGCCTCCAGAATACATGACATAACCATGGAGCATGTCCTCTAATATTTGAATCGTCCGCTCAAGCTAACTATCGATTCGAAAGTGGAATGCTACACTAAGATCCAATCTAGTCCTAACTCTTCATACAACCTTCCCCAACTTTTTGTGGTAAACTTCATTCCCCTATCCGAAATGATCAAAATGTACACCCATTCAATCTCATAATCTCTTTGACGTACACTTTAGCTAGTTTCTATGCAATATATATCACTTGAACAAATATGAAGTGAGTAGCCTTAGTCATCCTATCCACAATGACTCAAATCGAAACAAATATCCCTAAGGTCTTTGGAAGTCCCAAAACAAAATCTATAATTATTCTTTTCCACTTCCATTCAAGAATGGGCATTCACTGAAGAGTACTGCCCAACTTATGATGTTCGTACTTTACTAGCTAGAAGTTTTGACACTTAGCCACAAAATCCATTGTCTCGTTCATTCGACCCACCAATAGTGTTATCTCAAGTAGCAATACATCTTAGTTGCACCAGGATGTACAAAGTATATTGAGCTATGAGCCTTAGCAAAGAGAGTACGAATCAATTCACCAACTTGGGGCATATAAACTTGCCCTTTGATATGAAAAACACCTTTACCATCAAGAATGGCTTTATTGGCCTTACCTTGCACCACTTTTTCACAAATCTTTCCCAATTTTACATATTTGACTTGCATGTCCTTAATTTGATCTAGGAAGGTAGACCATTATTCTATGTCGGCTAGCAAACCACCCCTTTCGGATACATCAAGTCGCATAAAATTTTTAGCTAAGGTTTTCACCTCCCTAGCCAATAATTATCTGGTAACTACTAGACACCCTAGGTTACCCATGCTCTATGTCTTTCTGCTCAATGTATCAGCTATCACATTAGCCTTACCCAGATGGTAGAGAATAGTGACATCATAATCCTTCAATAAATCCATCCATCTACGTTGTCTCAAGTTCAACTCTTTCTAGGTGAAAATATGTTGTAGACTATGGTGGTCAGTAAACACTTTGCAACGAACTCCATACAAGTAATTCCTTCATATTTTAAGTGTAAAAGTTACAACAGTCAAATCCTAGTCGTGGGTCAGTTAGTTCTTCTTGCGCACCTTCAGCTATTTGGAATCATAAGTGATGACATCTGTTTCCTGCATTAATCCAACACCTAACCTAGAACGTGAAGCATCACAATAAATAATGAAATCATTAACCTCCACTAGCAAGGCAAGATAAGAGCGGTGGTCAGCAAAGTATTATCGTTGGAAGCTCTCCTCACATTGGTCAAACCACAACAATAAAATCTATTTTTGAGTCAGATGGGTCACATGCGAGGCATTGAAGTTAATCTCTTCACGAATCGATTGTCGTAATTGGCTAACCCCATAGAGTTATGAATGTTGTCATAAAAGTACCCCTAGTCTAATTCTTAACTACCTCAATCTTTTGAAGATCTACCATAACTCCATATTTCGAAACCTCATGACCTAAAAAAGATATCAAAGGCAACCAAAACTCACACTTAAATTATTTAGCATAAAGTTTATTCTCCTTGATCAAGCCCAACACTATCCTCATATGGTATCCAAGCTCCTCTTTACTCTTAGAATAAATGAGGATGTTATCAATAAAGATGATCACAAAAGATTCCATATAGGGCTTAAAAACCTTATTCATCAGCCCATAAAGGTAGCCAAGGTGTTGGTCAGCCAAGGTGTTGGTCAGCCAAGGTCAACCCAAAAGACATCATCAAGAACTCATAATGCATGTACTGAGTAATGAAGGTTGTCTTAGGAATGTCTTTACCCTGAATTTTTAGCTGATGGTAGTCGTATCTCAAATCAATCTTGGAGAAGATTGAAGCACCTTGTATGGTCAAATAAATCATCTATCCTGGACAATGAGTACTTGTTGTGAATTATAATTTTTTTCAACGATAGATAGTCTATG